GAGATGTAATCCATACTGCAGACTGTATTCTTCAACCTTCATCAGTAGGTGCCTTAAGTCATCCTCACTTTCAGCAAGCAAAGTTGTATCGTCTTGTTTATATAATATTTGGTCATAAAAAAGCTATCTCGCATATGTAATTTTGTAACTATTTCATGGGAGTGAAACTGAACTTTAGAAATGAGTAGTACTATCAAGGTATTTATTAACATAGTCTCAGAAACTTTTTAAAAATATTTATTACAGACTTTTTTTTTTTTTGGTATTTAGTTCCTTGTGAATGTGATGCAAAATCTTTTTATTTCACTTTCAGGAGTAGCCTGGAATCCTTCAGAGCAGAGTCATCAGGGAGATGAATTTTCAAACATGCCACCCAAGGTAGAGTGTGTGTGCATAGATATGACCCTTGAACTCCCTTACACAAGTAAGCTTAAAAAATAAAATTATCAGACAGAAAAATGCTGTGCTTCCAGACCCCTTTTGTAAAACCAGGAAAGCCTCAGTTCTCTCCTTCTTTATTTAGGTAAGGAATCAAGAAATTAGAGATTCATAAATGTTTGAAGAGTTTAATACTTTCTTCTTTCAGTGATCTCTCAGTGTTAAGACAGCACCACTAAGGACACTGTGAATTATGCATTTGTCTTCACTCAGATTCTAAATTTCCTGTTCTAGTTAGTGTTTTGCCTGCTGCCATTCATTTTCATTAGAGCAAATTAGGAGTGATCATTTACATAGCATTAGATGCCATTTTGAACTAATTATAATGGACTGATACATTGATACTTTAATTTTTACAGTTAGTTGTTGTTGTTGTTGTTGTTAAGTGCCGTTGAGTCGTTTCCGACTCATAGCGACCCCATGCACAGCAGAACGAAACACTGCCCGATCCCGCACCAGCCCCACAATCCCTGCTATACTCGAGCCCATCATCACAGCCACCGTATCAATCCATCTCGTTGAAGGCCTCCCCCTCTTTCGTCGACCCTCCACCCTACCAAGCATGACATCCTTCTCCAGGGAATGGTCCCTTCTTACAACATGACCAAAATAGGTGAGACGAAGTCTGGCCATTCTTGCTTCCAAGGAGCATTCTGGCTGCACTTCCTCCAGGACAGATCTGTTAGTTCTTTTAGCAGTCCATGGTACTTTCAGCATTCTTCGCCAGCACCACAACTCAAAAGCATCAACTCTTCTTCGGTCTTCCCTATTCATTACAGTTAGTATGGAAGCCTTAAATGTACATGGTGATGAATGCTATTGAATACAATGAAAGAACGCTGCTTTCTGCTAGATTCCTTCTAAATGGGAATCCACTTTATTGCACTGCACAGTCCCAGGGGGAGCTTTGGATTTCTGTGGAGGCTCTGTTCATTCTAGATGTATGAAATGGAATTATTTTAGTATGTATTTCTTCTCGTAGGAAACAGCAAATGTCACTGTCGGTAATGTTCTTATTCCTGAACATAATGAAAAAGGTAAAAACAAAATATCCTTTCCTTAAACTGTGCCTTCCTTTAAGTGAATTTAAAAGAGAAATGTCAATAAACTTGGTACTATTTATTAATATGCAAATTTAGTACAAAAATTGTCATCATAGATATTGAAATGTTCATAATATATTAATTGATGTTCTTGTGTGCCATAAAACTTGATTCCAAGTCATAGTGATCCTATAGGACAGAATAGAACTGTCCCTTTTTTTGGCTAATCTCTTTGGAGAGGTGATTGTGTTACAATATCCAAAATGCCACTTGCTCTGTGGAATGCTGGGAGCCATTCTCTCTTATTTGCAGAGAGCATGTGGGCATTTGCCTCCTTAGGGGGCTTTACTATGGTCCCCAGGCCTGCCTTTGCTGATCTGCCACTGGGCTATTTCTCATATCTTAGTCTTTTTTTTTATAGTGATGGCTTGGATTCTTAAGAAGAGAAAAAGTAACTTATCTTCTCCTGGCTTTCCTTCCTAAGGAGTATTATTCAGATCCTCCATCAGCTTCCAGAACATCATAGAAGGAACCAGACACTTCCACAAAGACTTCCTAATTGGAGAAGGGGAGATGTTTGAGGTATACAGAGTGGAGATTCAAAACCAAGCATATGCCATTAAATTATTTAAACAGGTATGGAAAAAAGTAGTATCACAAGATATCAATTCCATTTATTTGCTCATATTTCATATTCAAATGTGCCATTTTTTCACCAATATTGAGAGGAAGTGTATTTTAAAATAAAGTGTCATAAATGGGAATAAGATATATGACCTCAGGTGACTGGAGAAATAACTAAGAAATGAATGCCTGATTTGCAAAAATATGGAAATTAAATCCTTCCCAGGCCCAGATGTATTGCATGAGAAATATTGTTTTGACAAACGTTGTAGGACTTCTGGGACCTTGTTTATGATGATCAGGTTATAAATTGTCTTCTATCCCAGTTTAGGAGGGAGGAAAGGAGGAAGCTTCAAGGAGGAGGAGTAAGCCAGTAATCAGAACAGGAGGTCAGAAGACAGCTGTATTCATTTTCTTGGGCTGAAATAACAAAGTACCACAAAGTGGGTGGCTTAAAACAATAGAAATTTATTGTCTCATGGTTCTGGAGGATAGAAGTCTGGATTCAGCAAGTCATCAGGACCGTGGGCTCTCCAAAGACTGTAGGGGAAATCCTTCGTTAGCAGGTGCAAAGACCTAAATGTGCGTGTATGAAAGTATACATTATATTTATGAATAACAGATCATTCAGCATAGCTGGAGTGGAGTGTAGGGGTGGGGAGACAGTGGCAGAAGATGATACTGGAAAGATAGATTAAGTCTGTGGGTAGTTCTTAAGTAGGAGAGTGAAAGGCCCAGATTTGTGTTTTTGAAATATAACTTTGGTTACAGATTAGATGATGGATTGGAACTTGGCAGGGGGAAAGTAGACAACAACTAAACTGGAAGCAGAAAGATCTGGTAGAGCTGTATTTCAGATGTGTAAACTTAAGAAATGGATAGGACTTAAACCAGTCAATCTCAACCCTGACTGCATATTGGAATCACCCAAGGGAGCTTTTAAAACTGAACCCAATTGAAGCAACTGGTTAAGTCAGATGGGGGTGTGTGTGGGTGGCAGGCTTCGTTGTTTAAAAGCTCCCCAGGCCCTTCAAATGTGTAAGTAGCATTGAGAACCACTGTGGTAAGTCAGGGCAGAGACTATAGAGGATGATGAGAAGATACGTTTAAGAGATGAGGTGAAACTGACCACATTTGGTGATCCATTGGGTAGGACAAGGGAAGTAAGGGAGAAAGAGGGATCTAAGGTGTTTCCTAGATGGGAACTTAGCTTACAAGGTCTTTTTAATTATTACTATTATTATTAACTCAGTTTCTCCATTTCTCCAATTTGCCTGTTGTCCCAGTCTTTTAAAACATGATAGAAGGAACCAAAAATTTCCACAAAGACTTCCTACATAGAAGGGGAAATTTTTGAGGTATACAGAACAGAGATGCCAAGCATTTCCACTTTATTGGCAATGAAGATGAGCAATCTAATAAAGAAAGGAACAAGTCACTGGCAAAACCATTCACCGGATAGAATGTGGTTGCTGTAGGGTGGCCCACTGATGCCTTTTTTCTATGGGTCAGGAGGTCCCTGGCCCCATCTGTACACTCCCTATGCGTCAGTCCCAAGGACACTTCCCTAAAAGCTCCATCTACTTGCCTCTTCTCTCTGCAGTTACCACTAAGTCAATCTCTTCTGGGCGTTTTCTCTACACAAGTCCAGCTTCAGAATAGGAATGTCACTGTCTCAAAATCCCCATCCCTTCCTGTCCCAAAGACAAGTGTCATTTCCTTGACTGTCCTTAACCCCTCCAGTCTGATATGGTGACCTTCCTATGAACTTCCTAGCCACAGCATAGTAGCATTTTCTCATAGTATTGACTACCTCTCCCAGTTGACTAGGTTGTTACATTCTTTAACAAAGCTCTTATTTATCTTTGTGTACCAGTGCTTTTTTATAGTACTTTCTCAATAAATGTTTGTTGGATATATTGAATGAAGCACATATGCCCTTTTCATGAATTGAGTTGATAATCATTAGGAGTAAATGTTGTTGTTGTTGTTGTTATGTGCCGTCGAGTCAGACCCGACTCATAGTGATAACTTCCTGAAGTGGTATCACTATGGAAGTAGACTGCCCCATCTTCCTTCTGAGTGGCTTGTGGGATTCAACTACCAGCCTTCTGGTTAGCAGTCAAGTGCCTTAGGCACTATGCTACCAGAGCTCCTAGGAGCAAATAGACAGGAGGTAATGTAGTAAGCCCTACAATCCCTGTTCCCACATGCTATTTCAACTCTTTAAGATGTCACTTGGAAGATTAAGGTGCGCCTAACCCAAACCCTGTTATTTTCAATTGCCTCATATGCATGTGAAAGCTGGACAATGAATAAGGAGACTGAAGAGGAGTTGATGCTTTTGAGTTGTGGTGTTGGCGAAGAATGCTGAAAATGCAATGGACTGCCAGAAGAACAAACAGATCTGTCTTGGATGAAGTGCAGCTGGAATGTTTCTTGGAAGCAAGAATGGCCAGACTTTGTCTGCCCCACTTTGCTCATTGTCAGAAGGGACCATTCCCTGGAGAATGATATCATGCTTGGTAAAGTGGAGGGTCAGCAAAAAAGGGGAATACCCAATGAGATGGACTGACACAATGGCTGCAATGATGGGCTCAAGTATAGCAAGGATTGTGAGGATGATGTACAACTGGGCAGTGTTTCACTCTGCTGTACACAGGGTCTCTGTGAGTCAGAACCGACTAGACAGCACCTAACAACAACAACAGCAAGGTGGCAAATAGAAGTATGATTGGAGTTTTGCCATCTGCTTTTCTCTCTACCCCACTCCTCTGCCTCAGCACCCTTGTGTATGCATACACAAGCACACGGTACATACACACACACACACACAAGAAATACAATTTTGTAATGTTGGGATATTAACTTCAGTAACCCTTCTTAGAGGGACTGAGGTGGTGAAATACACTGGATGTGTGAGAACCACACATCTTCACCATAATGTACACCTGGATCACCTGGGGATCTGAAAATGCAGACTCTGATTCATCAGATCCGGGAAGGAGGCCAAGATTCAGCACTGCTCACCAGCTCCAGTGAAGTTGATGCTGCTTGACCACAGACAACACTTGGAGCTGCGGGGTGTTACAGTGCTAAGTTAGCATAAACGCAAAAACCAGCCCCTTCATTTTGCAGATGAAGCAAACTATGACCTTACCAAGATTAATAAGTAGCTATAAAAAGCTGTGATGACCTAGTGTTATAGATATGACTGAGACACAATCTTCCTGGCTCCCAGACCCATGCTCTTATAAAATGTAAATTCTGATAAAGTGATCCTTGAAAAAGAGCTCTGGTGACATAATGCCTAAGCCACTGTTTTGCTAGCCTGGCTTATTGTTTCTGACTTCCTGGCTACACTTGGAAAACAGTTTCCAGAATTCCTGTTGGATTTCTCTTCCAGTATTCCTGAGAACAGTGTTCTGCAAACTCCACCCTCTCTAGCAATTTGTAAATGATAGATGGGACGTAGGAGCACACTTGGTAGCTGCCTAGGAATTGAAGTTACAGATTTGACCATTGTGATCCATCAAGATTTTCAGAAGTAGATCTTTCTGCTCTGCCTTACTCTGGAAGCTCCAGTGAAACCTGCATCATAGCAACACATACGGCTCCGCGGAGAGATGTGTGGTGGTTGTGCACTGGCTGGCAATCAGACTCTTGCAAGAATTCTACCACTGCCCTAAGAAGCATACTCAAGTTAAAGCCTTTCTCTTTCATGTGAGAGGTTAGGCACCTGAGGCACAGAAACATGCAGTGACGTAAGTATATTAAAGTATGGAGAACAGTGCCAAGTGCAGAGTAGGTGCTGAATTCATTGTTTATTCAGCAAAAAATCATGCATTAGCCTCTGGACTAGTTTCTGAAGCTTTTTTTAAGGGGATATATTTTTCATTTGTGTCATAAATTATCTTTTCCAAATTAATACAAAAGTAAGCTTGAACCTGCATATCCAAATGACCCCCAAATGCCAAATGAATGAAATTTTGCAGCAAAGGCAAATCTTACAGAGGATGCCACTTCTAACCAAAATACAGCCATCATGATTTGGATTCCTTATGAAATTTCAGTCATGGGATTTTTTAAAATACATATATATATATATATATATATATATATATAGAATACATATTTGAATACATGTGTATTTTCTTTGAATACATATAACAAATAATAGAACATTTATGTAAATGTTTGCAAAATATGGTGAGAGCTTGAATAAAAAATTTGGCAATATTGTAAGTTATATGAAAAACTTTAAATTCAAGAATGATGGTTCAAAATCTGTTTGGACATTAATGGACTTTTGAAAATCTGATGAAAGCTAAAGATCCTCTCCTAGGATAATGTCCGTGTGCATGACTTCAAAATGAGTGTATAACTGCAGGGAGACCATGGACCCTGGGTTAAGGATCCCAGAAATAGAGATTCTTTTAATTTTTTTTTCTTGTCTTTCTGTCTGATATTTAGGAGAAAAAAATGCAATGTAAGAAACAGTGGAAGAGGTTTTTATCTGAGCTTGAAGTTTTACTGCTGTGAGTATATTTCATCTGGAATTTCCCATTCTTTTTGCCCAGTCATCATCTATGCTCATCTTTGATTCTACAGCACAGTGCTTGGCATGGTTGGCATTTAATAAATGTGGGTCAGATGTTAGAGTACTGGGTAAATTTTTGACATCTGCTTTAGTATATTCCTTAAAATACATTTTAAAAGAGACCATTCACATAATTCACTTGAATATATTTTAACAAGAACATTGAAACTCTCACAAGTAAGTGGGTGCAATCATGTGTGGCTAGTGTGGTTGAATGTAAAATAATCCTTACAACATTAGAATTGTATATATTTCACCATTGCACCCCTTCCATAGAGACATTCCAGTCTAGAAACACTTTCTTCATTACAGCCCTTTTCAGGAAGAGAGTTTCAGACAAAGGAACCAAGTGCTTTTGATGAGTATATTATTTTCTGGGAATTCATTCATGAGTCTGAGAGTCCCTGGAGACAAATTAAAATGACTTCATTTTCATACATATTCATCTCTGCAGCTGTGCAGCCTGCCTCATCAAAGACCCCTAACCCTATAGAGTTCACTCATCACCATTTACAAAGGGAAAAATGTTCTTTTCAGATGTTTGCTGAACCAGTATGTGGAGTGGGGGTGGGAGGGAAAGCATTATGCTGAGTCCTTCTTTCACATCCAGGACCAGAAACCAAAATATTAGGTGCTAATCATAAAACTTAATATATACCTGTCTCGGTTAACTGTTATTGTTGTTGTTATATGCTGTCGAGTCAGACCTGACTCAGCTACCCCTCCTTGGGCTTCAGAGGCAGTATCACTACA